CGAATGTTTCACACATGCATGAAGTATTAAATGTAGACTAATTATAAAACTAATTACAAATTAAAATTAATTTACAAGACGAATCTATTAAACCTAATTAAACTCATGTTTAGTCTTTCTAATTAGTATCAAATACCCGATGTGACATTTCCTGAACTTTAGTCTAGATCTAAACACCCGAGCCAGCTGCTGCTAGGGATGTTGCGGCCGCCTAAAACACTGTAACAGGAGTGTTTTTCAACGCAGAGCTGAGAAAAAAACCAGCTGAACAGGTCAAAATTGCGTGGCCAGTGCGTGGGGTGTACCGTGTACGTTGTGAAGTTTGAAAAACAAGCAAGTGCGAACAGGACGGAGGATAGCGGTGTCTGTGAGCGAGGAGAGGTCCGCGATGGCCACAGGACGACGACGACGGTGATGGAGCAGTCGACCGAAGACAAGACGGAGGCCAAAACCACGTCGGCGCACGCACAGGAAAGACGGGTGGTGGGTCCAGCAAGTACGCGCACACGTATCGACGCCGCAATGATCGATAGTAGTGTGTGGTGGGTCCACAAGGGAGGCAATCGACGTGGCAATGCATGGACCGGACGGACGTGAGGCCTCCTCGGGAGAACAGGAATGCCACGCCTAGCCTAGCCATGGAAATGATACGGATAAGGATGGGAATTCAGATATCTGATGATCTATATTAGGCCGCGTTTAGTTTAGCGCAGAATCTGCGCCGCCGTAATTCTCCGGCACTGTAGCATTTCGTTTGTATTTGGTAATAATTATCCAATTATTGACTAATTGAAGGCTTAAAACATTCGCTCTCGAAAGACAAACCAAACTGTCTGCGATAGGTTTTGATTTCGTCAACATTTAAGTCTTTCAAAACGTATCTGCAAATTTGATGTGACGGAGAATCTTCTTTTTGCATAGTGCCAAAATTTGGATTCTGAGGTAACTAAACAAGGCCTTATTTGTCAAAGGGTCAAAGTTTTTAAAATTTAACTAAAATATCAATATTGTATCTACAAATAAGTTTATTATAAAAATATACTACATGCTCGATCTAATAATACTTATTATACATTATAAATATTAATATTTTTTATAAATTAATATTACACATCAGGCGAACCTTCTCGTCGCGACCGCCTCATGCACACCGTAGGAGCTGAGGAGGAGAATCACGCTGCCGAGTAGGAGGGCACGAGCGACCCTATGCGCAACCGGATCTCCGGCGAGATGGGGCAATTGCCTGAGCACTCACCAGATTAAGAGGAGAAGGGTCGCGTCACCGGATTTGAGCAGGGGGCGACAACACTCGCCGAGCTCCACGTCGCCGAGCAGGAGGGCCGCGAGCATCGCCGGTGCTCAAGCGAGCAGGGTGAGCGGTGTTGTAGTTTTGGAAGGACGAAGAAAAGAAAGATAATGTTTTGCGAACTTGGCGGTAAGGATGGCAGCGGATCGGGTTTGGGGCGGATATCCGCGGGTTTCGGGTTCTGCGGGTTCGGGTTTGGGGATGGTTTTTCACCCACGGTTTTCGGGTTCGGGGCCCCGAAACCAATCGGGTTCGGTTTCGGGTTTGGTTTTCCACCCGTGGATATCCAATGGATATCCGAAATAAATCATTTGGAATTAAAACTCATGTTTTATAATATACTAATAATAATTTGTTTACTTAGATTATTAAATTTATTTAAAGTTGACTCATGAAAATATTTATTATTTGTTGCCTCTTATTTATACATGTGAATATGTGTATATATATCCGCGGGTTTCGGGTATCCATTCGGGTTTTGGGTATCCGTTCGGGTTTCGGGTATCCGCGGGTTTGGTTTTGGTTATGGATTTCCACCCGAATCGGTTTTCGGGGCGGATTCGGGTTTTGATTTCGGGTTTCGGTTTTGGGTGCACGGAGACTCCACCCGATCCGAACCCGACCCGTTGCCATCCTTACTTGGCGGTGGCAGACATGTAATTTCGGGTCCAAAGCTGGTCGAAGCCACTCCAAATGAGCCTTGAAGCTTTCTGTGTAAGGTTGGTTTTTTGTGGGCTTTTGTTTTGAAAAGTTGATCCTGGAAGCTGGCAGTTTGTTTGGGCTTTGAGCTTTTGGGGGCCCTTAGTACGGAAGGAGTAGTTCGATCAGATGTTAGATTTCTTGACGAATCTACGGTACGCACAAATACACAATAAATATATAGAATTATTTAAAGTATATAAAAATTTTATTTGACAACAAAAAATAATGAATTATATATAATTTAAAATAACAAATATATAAGGTTGAAGCTAAATCACAACAACATTAAAGTTTGATATCATTAGTCATTACCATTTTTCATATATATAGATAACTTTAAATAGTTTCAAAGCATATATTATTAGTAATACTAGAACCGATATCATTAGTCTCTGATCATGAAAACAACTTTTCATTATTCTCATTATGTGCATCTTCCAGACGGATAAACATAGTGGTCGGATATTCTATAATTGTTCAAATGCGTATGGAATCGGATAGAGAAAAGTTAGGACAAAGATACATCTATTTTTAAGTTTTGTCGGATGCAGCTTGTTCGTTTGACTGTGGCGTGTCGTAAACGATAAAAAATTTCCAGCTGGAACAGTATTTGTCTTTCACACAAACCAATCAGCAGTACTTCTTCACGAATCAGCAACAAAACGAACCAGCCACGTGCTGAAGATGGTTAGGTAAACATCCATTTCCAGCGCTAGTCATGCCCGATAGGGATCTAGTTGTGCGGAGGACGATTGGCTACAGCTTCATTCTCCAACGCTCGTTGTCCACGCAACCTAGACCTAGTACACACTAGAAGAGGCTAAAATCACGTGGGACAGTGATGGGATGGGTGTGAGTGTGAGTGTGAGAGTGTGAGTGTGAGGCCTCTCGAGATTACGAAAGTCAGGCCCAATAAAGAGGTTTCGTAACCAAATGTGAGGCCTCTCGAGAGCACGAAAGTCAGGCCCAATAAAGAGGTTTCGTAACCAAATCGGATTACTTTAAGGACTCAGATAACGATACAATTGCATGTGTTTTATGTGGCTGTTATTATGGAAATTAAATTATATGAAGTTTTGACTTTTTTTTAAGATACATTGTTTTTATTATGCATCTAGATATAATATATATCTAACTAAGTGCATAGCAAAAAATAATATAGTATTATATCTAGATAGCGTTCTATTCATCACTAATGTTGTCCCTCTTCTATCCTTAGATTCCCTGCTCTAAACTTTAGAGCTCTAAAAATTTTAGAGCATTTTAGCGCACATTTAAGGTATAAAGCTCTAATGTGAGGTGACTAAAATTTAGAGCTAATATTAGACCACTATTTTAGAGCTTTACTTCTAAATTTTAGAGCTCTAAAGTTTAGATGAGATGATCAAAGACACATAGCTCATTACGTCGCTGATGTCTTTCCGCGGTCCCGTCACCATGTCCAACCAAGCGAAGTCTACAATCAATGACCCCACCAATTAAACCTCAGTGAGTTAGATTCCATTTTCAATCATGTTACATGAGAACGAATCAAACACTTAGAAAGATGTATTTCCTGCATTCTAAATTATAAAATATATTATTTTAGTTATATACCTAGATATAGTGTATATCTAAGTGCATAACAATATATATATATATATATATATATATAGAAAAATAAAAGTTTGTTATACTTTAGAATGAAGAGAGTAGTTATTTGGAATCAATATAGCACCGCTTGGAAAGAACAAGGCACATGGACGCCTTACAATTCACGAAGAACGAAGCATGTATTATCTTTACTCTTTTTATCTCTGTATATGTTGATAGGACAAAAATAAATGATGGCATCTATAAACTCTATACTTTATTGCGACATATGCATCTATACAACACACTCTTTTATATTACCACACCTACTTAAGAAGGTAGAATTACATTTTTTAGATAATAAATGAGTTCTAGAATTACATCCACCCTAGGATGGAGGGAGTTGATCAGACATGTTGTGTGTGCGAGTAAGGAAAACCTGATTCCAGCTAGTGTGAGCGAGTTTGTCGGGTACAGGGGGTCAAGTAAGGTGGAAATGGACAAAAACATAAATATATGTGCGAAATGCTTGTTTACGAAAGCGTGTGCTCATGACGCTGGCGCACAAGACACTTACCAGCGTGGGCCGTCCGATGCGCGTGGGAATGAAGGAAGCTCGTCCAATGTGTGTGGACGCCGAGGCCGGTGAAGAAGGCACCGCCTGCGCTTGCCGCCAGCGCCTGATTCGCTTGCCTGCGTCCGCGCCCGCCCTCTCTCTTCCCCAGCTCGGTGGTGGGCGGGTTCCGGCAGGAGACGGAGGTCGCCGGAGAGGGAGAAGAAACAACTCTGGCGGGTATAGAATGGCCGGCCGGCCGGGGGAGGCAGGTAGGCCCGGCGGTGGGGATGGTCGACGGACGGTTTAGGGGATCAGGCGGCGGTCGTGGCGGCCGAACCAGGTCGGGGCGGGGGCGCCATGGCTGGACTTCACGGCTTCGCGGAGTTCGCCATCGCCGCCGCTTCTTGGGCGGGGGGTGGGGGAGGGGAAGGGAAGAAGGTGGTCGCCGCTGGCGGTCTGGTCACGGTCCGGCCGCCGTGGGAGGTGGTGGGGCGGGGTGAGGGCGAGGACGAGGCGCCGAGCCAGATCCAGAGGCGCGTGGGAGGAGGCGGCGGGGGCGAGCGCGAGAGGAGGCTCGGTCGCCAGAGCCGGGCGGGCGAGGAGGTGGCGGTTGCGCATGCTTAGTAGAAAGAAGATAAGGCGAGGAAGGTGTGCGGGCGTAATTTGTGGAGCATGCGCAGGCGGAGACTAGTAAGGTCCTTAGATACGATTAGACATATATTTATGTATATACTTTGAGTGCAAGTAAGAAAAATATATGTAATCTGTGGAGATGTGCACAGCAGCAGTAAAATTTCTCCCCCTATATATATACATATATAGCCCAGCAGCTTCTCCTAGAAACCACAAGAGTGCAGCAGCAGCATGAGGACCTGCAGCTATATCTCTGCTGCTGCGGCATCACCGCCGCTCAGGCAACAATGGCCAGGCATTTCATGGCGGCACCACAGCAGGCAGTTGCAATGCCGCCGGTCGCAACAGGGTTATTCCGCCGCTGGAACACGGCATGATGACCTTGACGACCAAGGTGACAGCCGCCTGAGGCAGAACGCCGGCATTTTCCAGCCATCTATCTGGGGAGATTTCTTCCTCGGCTACTCCAACCCAGCAGCACCTAATTCATTGCCACAACAGGTCTGCTCATTTATAGATGTTTTTCCTTTTCTTATTCTATACCTATATAAGAAACTTATTAATGATGTGATAGATTCTTAGATTTTTCTTCTAATGGAATGATAATTATATTCGTGTTGCACTATTTTTAGCAGATTCAGATGGAAGAACGAGCGGACAAACTCAGGGAAGAAGTGGCCGAAATGATAGCAAGTTCAACTACCACTGCTAGTAGGCTGCACCTCATCGATGCATTGGAGCGTCTATGCTTGGATCACCTGTTCGAACAAGAGATCAGTGCTGTACTAGCACAGGTTGAGACTGCTGATGTCAGTGACTGTGATCTTGGAACGGTTGCCCTGTGGTTTTGTCTACTTCGGAAACATCGATACACGGTCTCGCCAGGTAGCAACATGAACATACTCTCTCCATCCCAAAATCCTAAAATAAGTGTCGCTATGGTATTCGTGCCGGTCAAATTTTTTAAGTTTGATTAGATCTATAGAAAATATTAACAACATTTATATCTTTAAATAAGTTTATTATAAAAATAGATTCAATGACCTATCTAATAATACTAATTACGTACTATAAAGATTAATATTTTCTTATATATATTTAGTTAAAGTTAAAAGCGGTTTATACCTCGGGAAGTGAGAACGACATTTATTTTGGGACAAAGTACACCGCAACTAATCATTGCATTACCAAATCTTAAAATAAAGCATATGTATTGTGCTCCTCCATTCCAATTATAATAAGATATATATTTTGATTTTTCTAGATATTTAGCTTTTGCTATACACTTAGATAGATATACACCATGTCTAAGTATATTGTAAAATCAATGTATTTAGAAAAGGCAAAATATATTTTTATAATTTGGAACGGAGGGAGTACTTTCTTTTACTTATTGAAATTCAAGCTGAAAAATGTGTCATATTTCAGATGTGTTTGTGAGGTTCAAAGATGACGAAGGAGGCTTTCTAGTGGACAGTCCTAAAGACCTACTGAACTTTTATAATGCAGCACATATGAGGACCCATGGAGAGGTAATACTTGAGGAAGCCATACTATTCGGCCGAAGACGTTTAGAAACAATGATACCGTACATGGAAGGGTCATTAGCACATGAAATCAAATCTGCACTTGAGATCCCCCTCCCTAGAAGAGTTAGAATTTATGAGTCAAAGTATTACATCTCAACGTATGAGAAAGATGCTACGGTGCATGAGAAAGTGTTGCAACTTGCGAAGTTGAACTCAAATATAATGCAGTGCCATCATCAACATGAGCTGGATATCATTACAAGGTGAAGTAAAACTTTTCTATTAAAATTTTATTATTGAAAAATTACAACCAATTCTGTTACTAATAAAATTACTACCTCTAATAAATTTATAGGTGGTGGAAAGATATACAGATTGAATCGAGGCTTCCATTTGCTAGAGATAGAGTTGTAGAGTGCTATTTGTGGATGTTAGGGGTATACTACGAACCATGTTATTCTCGAGGCCGAATAATATTGACAATGATTATGGCCATTGCGGTGCTTTTGGATGACATTTATGATTCTTATGCAACTCCAGAAGAATGTGAATTGTTTACCAGGTGCATTCAAAGGTTTGTATTGCTTCCCTACTTAAAAATATCTTTATCTTAGGTTCACTGTGAAGTTCATGTCTGTCTTTACTGTGAAATTTGCACGTAAGAATAGAGAAAACGTACTATATGCTATTTTTTCAAGCTATAAGTTATATGTATGTGTTCGATTAGAAAAAAGGCTCAATGTTCTTTACATATGATGTTGTAAAAATAGAGTATACATTGTTTCACTGAGGTGACCATACTAAAAATAGTAATGAGTTATGTCTTTTATGGTTGATCTTTGGCTTAGTTCATACATGTCACCGTACATAGAAACTTCCATCTAGCTTGGCCGAAATGCAACAAATGAAGAAAAATTTGAATTTCAAAATTTTAGAACTTAAACCAAGTATTTGGTGCCCTAAACATCGCCATACATGGAAACTTCCATCTAACTTGGCGGAAATGCAATAAATGAAGACAAAACTTGAATTTTAAAATTTCAAAAACTTAAATGAAGTGTTTGGGCCCCCTAAACTATCTCAAACAAAAAAATTACTAGATCATGTCAAGATCTACAACTTTGGTATAGGCTATGCCAACTTTCAAGGTTGTTTGAAAATTCAAAATTATGGGAAATTAAAATGGATATTTAGGACTATATAATATCTCAAATAAGAACTCATCAAATATAAAGATATAGATCCCATCAAGTGCTAAAACATTGGTATAGAAAAATGTCAATTTTGGAGTTATTTAAAATTCATATTTTGAATTAAAAATATGAGATTTAAAACAAATATTTGGATCTCCAAACAATGTCAAATAAAAAATTTATCAACTATAAAATTGTAGATCGCATTGGGATCAACTATTTTGATATAAGTTTATCTTTATCGGACTTTATATGAAAAGGCTATAGGTTTTTTGTGTAATAGCTATTTTCAAAGGCAGAATACACACTCTAGAAATAGCCACATTATATTTATAGAAGCATATTCTTAAGAGATTTGTCCTTGTAAATCTATTTCTAAAGGCAAGCTAACATATATAAACAAAGTCTAGTGTCGCGAAATTGTTTTGCAGTAGTGAGTGCGTTTAACGTTGAAAAGTTTACATTTATATATATGTAGTGACATTTTTATGTCATTTTGATCATATAGAACTCACAAATTTTCGTGAATTACCATATCTAGTTGGGATTCAAAGGGAGCTCATGACCTCCCAGAGTGCATGAAATTTGCTTTGGAGAAAATATTGGACAGCTACGAAACCATTGAAAATTTGCTCCAGCCGGAGGAGAAATATCGCATGCCATATCTAAGATATTTCGTAAGTTACCTCCCTCATCTGCATATTTCAACTTTTTTATGTCTCAATCTGAATGATTATCCGGGAAATATAAGGCATATTTATTTATCTAGGGTCCTTCACTACAGGAAATCGAGGCTTTGCCCAGTGCTCAAATCTTTGCCGAGTGTTAAATATCGGGCACTCGGCAAAGGCCACCTTTGCCGAGTGCCGCACTCGACGAAACTTGGCACTCGGCAAATAGGGCTTTGCCGAGTGTCTGGCACTCGGCAAAATAAGGCACTCGGCAAAGCCAAACTTTGCCCAGTGCCAGACACTCGGCAAAGTTGGGCACTCGGCAAAGAGGCGCCCGGGGATAACGGTACCCAACGCCGTCTTCTTTGCCGAGTGCCTTCTGTTTGGCACTCGGCAAAATATTGGCTTTGCCGAGTGCCTAGGGTTAGCACTCGGCAAAATATTCACTTTGCCGAGTGCCAAACCTTGGCACTCGGCAAAATAATTTTTTTTGTTTTGTTTTTTGCCACCAACTTTTTTTCTTAGATTTGTATTTGTACCATGAACAACATGTTCAAATTTGGCACAATTTCATTGCTGTTTGCTATATTTCTTCACTTTATTTCGTTTTCTTGCAATTTTCCGGAAAATATAGGTTTGAACTGCAGGTGCATCGAATAATAGTTTTGATCCATTCCAAAAATGTTATTCTTGTTTGTTAGTGTCACTTTATGCTAAATCTAGGAACTGTCTCCAAATTTCGATCAGCGTGCTCACGGGGCAACGTCGCGAACTTGCGTGCGAGTGGTTATTTAATTCTATAAAATTCAAACGAATCCCGAAAATCATAAAACTTGGTGAGATGTCGTGATATCACATGCATATGCGGTGGTAAAAATTTGAAAACATTTGGAGGACGTCATCATGTATGGTGTTCACAAACCAGGACTTCATCACATTTTATATTAGATATCACATGCATTTTTTTAAAAAAGATTTTTTTAAAAAAAAATGGTTTCTTTGCCGAGTGCTGAGCTCTGGCTCTCAGCAAAAATTCAAATTTTGCCGAGTGCCAGTCCCTAGGCACTCGGCAAAGCCGGCGTCAAATGTTGACGGCAGTTATTTTTTTGCTGAGTGCGGGCTTGGCACTCGGCAAAGACTTTGCCGAGTGTCGATTTTTGGCACTCGGCAAAGAAATTTTTGCCGATAAAATCTTTGCCAAGAGACCTTTGCCGAGTGCGGCACTCGGCAAAGCATTTGCCGAGTGCTTGGCTGGCTTTGCCGAGTGCCCCCAGCACTCGGCAAAGAGGGCGTCTGCAGTGGTGCTTGCTATATAAACACATACTCGATCTATCTTTCTGATATGTGTGAAATGCATATGTTCACTATCTCCGATTCACAGACAGATGACCTGGTTAGAAGCTTCAACATAGAGGTAAAAATGCTTCAAGAAGGATACATTCCAAAGTCTGTTGAAGAGCATCTGAAGGTTTCAATCAGAACTGTCGGAAGTCCCATTTTTTCATGTGCTTCCTTTGTCGGGATGCATGATATAGCAACAGAGGATTGCTTTCATTGGGTCTCTAGTGAACCTAAAATGGTCCGAGCACTTTCCGTGATTCTCAGACTAGTAGATGACCTCCAATCATATGAGGTAATATTCCTCATTCTTTACACCTTAAAATATGATAATATTTGAAGCCTAATAGCAGGATCTCCCATATTTTAGTTTGGAATTTGACTTTGATATTTGTCATATAACATTGCTTTATGCAATGAAGCGATAGAGAGGGTATTTTCTGACAAGCAAATTACACTGGAGTTATTTCAACAGCCTGGTGGCATGGTTACGTCACTCGCCTACAGAAAATATGTGGAATCATATGGTTCCTAATAGGAAAAAAAACAATATTCCACCATCTAGATCTAGATGAAAAAAGAAAATCTCCATTCATGGTCATCTTCTTAAGCATTAAAATGGATATATATATATATATATATATATATATATATAATGGGAGAGGAGAAACATGTGAAGCTACTCAATAGAAGTAATATTGGTCACAAACTTTAACTAATATGATGTCTTTAATGCCTAAAACACCATGCATGCGCTCCCATCAGCGCATCAACCATGAATCCTAGCTATAGTTAAGCCAAGCAAACTCTTAAAGGACATAGAAATAGCAGAATCATTACCTTTTAGAGCCATCTCTTCAAGGAAATAAAGATCAAAACATCCCCTTATATTTTGGCAATTTTTATCCTCAAAAACCTCGCAAAAAATATAGTGTGCTTAGTTTGAATGCTATAGCACATGGAGGAAGAAGATATAGTGTGGCATTTCCTTTTATGGGTGCTTAAGAGGACCACTAGTAAAAATGCATCTATAGTGGTGACTAAGATAAGCCTATAGCTAGTGAAAATACCCATATTTACAGCATGGTAATCATAAGCAAGTAAGCAACAATTGGTGGATTTTTTGCCATGGTCCACTCTAGCTTACTGTGCCAGCTGCAGCAATTTCTAACCGACAATGTTGTAAATAAATGATGCCTCTGAGAAACCATTTTAGTAGTATTAGGATATTGCTCGGCACGAGTTTTCCTTTATCTTACTAATATATTTGAATATTTAACTTCATGCAGCGGGAGCAACTGATCCCTCACGTTGCTTCCACAATCAATAGTTACATGAAGGAGCACAATGTCTCCATTGAAGTTGCACGTGAGCAGATACATGTACTCAAAGAGGACTCATGGAAAGATTTTAACAGCGAGTGGCTTAACCCAGACAATACCTATCCAAAGCAGCTACTGGACCGGATATTCAACTTGACGAGGATAGTGGAATTCATGTACAACCAAGAAGACAAATTCACAAACTGCCACAACCTTAAGGATACCATTCATTCCTTGTTGGTAGAGCCATTTATGATCCACACTTAGTATTGGCAACAAACAAATGAATTATATTTGTCTGATTAATGTAATATAATGTGGTGTTATCTCATCCTTATGCGTTGTTGGTATAAATTAATGTACACAAGATAATCCGCAAGCGCACGGATATTATACCGATGTAGCACTTCACCGGGAGTACCCAGTTTTATATCGAACTCGAGAAAACGTGTGTGAGAATAACCAAATCTAACTTAACCCAACTTCACAATCAAGGCTAAATAATAGGAGCGTAGAGGAGACTGCTAAGATCTTCTAGTTCTAACTTCGGTAAGCTTTGTCTTCTATTGTTCAATTCTAGGGAAATTACTAAAGAAAACACAGGCAAAGTATGTTTCCTATAGTAACAAGGTCCTGCTAGGCCTACTAACGGGAGGTGGACTATAAAGGATTCAACGAGGCTATAAGAGTCACCCTCGCGAGCTACCACCGATCCGAAAAATAGGGTACATTCATGAGTAACCGAGTCTAAACACCACACTTACACTATGAATACTTCTCTAACCTAGGAGCTACAAGGATTAAAGTGCTCAAAAGAGAGTCACAAACCTGAAGAACAATATGAACAAGATGCTTACTTGAATTAGAAGTCGATTACCACAGAAATCTCAGAAGCAAGCTCAAGAAGAACTTGATTCCGCCAGGGTACAAACCATTGAGAGAGCACTGATAGGCCGGGACTTCTCCAAAACTCTTCCCTCTCACTCTATCTCTCTATCTCTAATACAAGACTAGATACTATGGATGACTAATCTTCTCTTGATTACTAGC